GCAAAGTCCCTGGGGCAGAGCAGGGGACAGGCAGGGAGGGGTCGGCAGGCCCTTGGGTTCAGGGGAGACTGCTGGGGGCGGAGCCACACAGGGCCGCAGACAGGAGGGAGCCCTGCTCATGGCGCCCCCTGCTGCTGTGGGGAGGAGGGTTCTGTGGGGCAGACAGGAGCTGCGACCAGGCGCCGGGGATGAGCCGGTCCTGGTGGGCGGAGCTGGAGCCAGACCAGGGGGACGGAGCAACGGGGAAGGCCCATCCCCGAGGGCAGTGGCTGGGCTCCTGTCCCCGCTGTGGGCGGAGCCACCTCTTCTCAGACATGCAACCGTGGCTCCACCAGGTCCTCCAAGAATCGGGGACAAGTCAGACCAGCACCGCATCCCCACCACCTCTGTCCACACAGAACACACGGGAATGCGGGTGGAGGTGGGGCCTGGCACCGCCCAAGGTGATGGGGGCAGCATCTGGGGGAGGGGAAGATGGGCCGCAGGGAAGGCTCCTGGACACGGAGAGGGTCGGCACACTGGCCAGGACCCTGGGGACGCGGGGGTGGCTGTGGCTGCCCTGGGCCCCATGCGTTGCATAGCCCTGGCAGAGCCAGATCCCCCGGCACGGCGAGGTCTGGGGTCTCTGTGGCCACAGGAGCCTCCAGTTCAGGCTGAGTAAGCAAAGGCAGCTCCTGCTGTCCCCTCCCCTGCTCCAGAGGGAGGTGGCTCTGGCCCCAGCCGGGACTCAAGCCAGTTGCTCCCCTCTCACAGTCACACACACAAATGTTTCTTTCCCCTTTTTTATGGAAAAATTCCTTGATTATAACTGAAGTGGAAACCAAGTGAGCAGAGCCAAGATACCGCTGTCCACAGGGTGGCGCCCTTCCACACTCCGTGTACAGTGCCTGTGCGCTCGTGTGCTCCTGCATGCGTGTGTGCACCCGTGTGTGTGCAGTGTGTACACCTGTGTGTGCGCGTGCGTGTGGGCTCTTACTCTGGAGCTAGGGTCACAGGGTCCACTGTGTAAAACCTGGCCAGTGTTTTATGAGCCGCTTCTTGTGGACTTCGCAGGCACCTGCCAGTGGAGGGCCAGGTCCGAGGTGTCCTTGAGCCACGTGCTCTGAAGCCACCAGTCCAGATGGTGAGCACAAGCACCCTCGGGACCCAGAGTGCCCAGGCCCCCGTGGCTGCTGCAGCCCACAGACGCCCAGGTCTTGGTGTGTGGCCGGGGCCTTTGCCGTAGACCCTGTGCTGGTCCTCCAGGGGTTTCAGCCTCTAGATGACCAGCACCGACAGCGTCTGCCAGACATGACTGTGGCACTGCTGTGTGGGCACAAGGATGGGGACAAGTCTGGTGGCACCCTTGAATGTCTCCCGGTGGTCCCTGGTGGTGCCAGAACTGGGCTGGGCTTGGGACCTGGCCGGGGAGGAGTGGCCCCGCCAGGATGGTGCAGGGTGCCGAATGGGGGGAGGCTGGAATCAGCCACGGACAGGGACGTTCTCAGACTGGGACCAGCAGGGGTGGCTTCCTCAGAGTGGGAGGGTCTTGGGTACTCTAGACAGACTCCCCCGCTCCAGTGACATCAGAATGACAAACGCAGAGCCAGGCGGAAACCAGAGCCTGATGCCTTGAGGTGCTGGGCAAAGGTCCTGGGGCAGGAAGGCCTGGCTGCTGGAGGAGGAGAGCAGGGCACAGAGGGTGAGGCCTCGGGTTCTGTCCTCAACACGGGGGTGGGGAGGAGCAGAGGGAGGTGGCTGACCTTCTCTGAGTCTGGGAAGGTCACTGGCTGCCTGAGGATGGTTGTGAAGATGAAGTGAGACGGCACCAGGGGCCAGCACAGCGGGTACTTCACGTCCACCCCAGAGGACAGCAAACACTTGGACAAAACACCCTCCAGTGAGGCCACTGTGGCCTCCCGGGACCCAGGAGGTCAGTTCCAGTGGCTCTGACCGCTGACTGGAGCCACACCCCCAAGTCCTCTTCATCTTTTGAGATGGGAAAGGGCCTCACTCAGGTGCTGAGGCTGGCCTCAAACTTGCCATCCTCCTGCCTCAGCCTCCTGCGTCTCTGGGCTGACAGGCGTGGCCCCGCGTCCTTCTCTGGCCCTGCCTCTCTGGCCGGGTTCCCTGGGAGTGGTCTCCTTTGAACTTCACAACCCGGACTTTTGAGCCCTGGCTTCTGCACACTGTCCTTCAACTTGCTTCCTTGGTGACAGTTGGTCCCGTTTCTGGGGACGCTGCCTCTCCTTCATATTTAGAAAAGCACCTGTGGGGAGATATTTCAAGCCCAAGAAATTACTCGGTGACCCCTCAAACTATCCCCTCTGCTTTCAGCTTCCGAGTGGTTCTTGCCTGAAGCAATGATCAGCTGAACGGGGAAATATTCTCACCCCATTCCTGCTCCTGGTTATTCATTGGGACATGAAAATCTGTCACTATAGAGTGACAGGATGAGGAGGAGACCCAGAGAGATGAAGCATCTCGCCTGAGGTTGCCCAGCACAAAGCAAGGCAGCTGGCACCAAACAGCTTACCCAAGCAAAGGACAGCCTCACCCAGAGACTCCGCTCGGCAAATCCGCCCATTCAAGTGCCCGAGTCCGTGGGCATTGGTGCCGTCACGGAGCCGCAAACCGCTGCCTCTACCCACTTCTGGAATGTTCCCACGCTCCCCAAAGAAGGCTGGTCCCACTGCCCCTCCCGTTCCTCCGGCTCATCCACGCTCTGCCTCTCAGTGAGTCTATGCCAGGCATTTCGAATTAACGGGATCGGGCACCTTGTAGACCTGGCGGCTGCGACTTTGGTGCCGCTGCTGTGGCTTAGGTCTGGGGTTTCCCCCAAAGGCCAGGTGCTGAGCCTGGTCCCTGCGTGGTGCTCTGGGTGCTGAGCCTGGTCCCTGCGTGGTGCTCCGGGTGCTGAGGCGGTGGGAGGGTCAGGAGGGGGCCGCGCCCTAGGGGGACAGCAGGACCCCTGCCCTTCTCCTCACACACTCTCTTTGCTTCTTGCTCAAGGGCAAGGTCCACACCCCTGCCAGGATGGACGGCTTCCGTGCAGGCCCCAGGCAGGAGGCCTGCGGCCCACCATGACAGACCTGAGACCAGGGTCCACAGCAAGCCTGGCCTCCAGGAGGTGGTGCCCTCAGGCACTGGCCACAGCCACGGGACAATTCCACAGTGGCTGGGCCAAGAGGCAGGGGCCTGGGCAGTGGTCCAGAGTGGGGCATTGCCTGCCAGAGTGCCCAAGGCCCACGGCCCTCTCTGGGCCTGGGTTCCTCGCCTGTCAAACGGGTGGTAGGAGCGGCCATTAGCTCCCGAGGACCCAGTGGGTGGGCCCCTGCCATGAGCCTGGTGCGCAGGAAGTGCTGGTGGTGGACACCCAGGGAAGAGCACCCTCCACCAGGTCACCCTGAGCTCCAGCTTGGGCTCCAGCCTGGCCGGCGCCGGCCTGCTGCCTCCTGAGACCCCACGGACAGCCTGCTGCAGGCCAGGGCCTGGTGCTGAGCGGCTGGGCTTCAGCATGACTAGCTGACCAGCAGGCCGGGGCGGAGCTCGTGTGTGCAGCCACTGCCACCTCTGTCCTCTGCACTTTGGTTCTGTCCCCTCAGAAAGTGCTGCCCAGGCCCTTCCAGCTCACAGGGACGGACCCTTACTGTGGCAAAGTGCCTCTGGAGGGGGCCAGGCCCCGGGAGTCAGCAGTGGGGACTTCTCAGGTCTCATGTGGGGACCAGGGACTGGAGCCTGGCCGGGCAGGACAGGGCATCAGCTCCCGGGAAGTGCTGGCCCCGGTCAGGATCTAAGTGGCTCTGCAGAACCTATGGGGTCCCTGAGCCCCCGACACTGGAGTCTAGAGGTGGGGGCTCCCCGAGCAGGTCCAGGTCTCCTTGGAGCTGCACCCTCCCCACCTGTGGCTGAACATGGCACTGGGTCCCAGAGAGTCTCAGCACCGCAGCCCGGGCCACACGGAACACCCACCCTTCGGTTCACAGGGCAGCGGGGCTGTAGGCAAGGCCCTGGGCACTGAGCCAGAGGTTGGGTGGCCGGTGAGAAGGCCAGAGGGAAGCTGGGCCCTGGCCGCCACCTGCCCTGGTTTCCAGGCCGGAGACCCCCGGCCAGCGAGCACCTCCAACAGTCCCGACTCCCTAGAGTCGGTGAGAGTCTACTTCAGACGACAGTGCGGCCTTGGCCCCTAGAAAGCTCCTTTTGCCCTCGAGGCACGACGTCAGTTTCCCCTGAAGACAAATCTGCTCAGGATTGTTTTAAGACTTGGTTGACCCGGAGGAGAGCGCGCTGTGAGGGCACCACCAGGGCCCCCAGGCGCCGGGAAGACCGAAGCTGCGGCCCGCGCCCCAGGGGGGATCTGGCGCAGCTGGGAGCGGACGGAGACCCCAGATCCACACAGGCCCCGCGCCCGGAGAGCGGACAGG